TTACCTCACAAATAGACTATTATAATAATCTCCTAATCTATTTCCCAGCTCTGGACTTCCTCCCTCTACCGCATCCTGTACAGTATTGCACGATTAATCTTTCTAAAACACTGTCTTCAAATGTTTTCTTGCTGAAAAGTATCCAGTGATCCATTCATATAATAAATGCAATCTTAGCTTCAATGTAACTCTTCAGGCTTTCCTTTCCTTTATCGGCTTACATGACTGTATAAGGCCAACTAACTTATTATATATTACTAGAATAAACATTGCTATTTGTTGCTGCTATTTCATATCACACACTACTTCCCCACCTAGATTATCTTCTTCCTAAGTCTTAGGCCTGATTTTACCATTAAATAGCTATGTGATCTTGAGTAAGTTAATCTCTGCAGACCCTGGTTCCCAATTGTAAAAGGATGTTGATTAAATGATTGCTAAGGTTTCTCCCCCCACAATATTTTGTTTTCTATTTAGGATGAAAACGTAAAAGAGACTGACTAACTTATGCATGGATTATCAACGTGTGTTTTGTTAGTCTTCAAACCTGACTGTGAAACACATGAGGGTAGGGACTCTGCCTTATACTTCTTTTCCGGCTCATCGTACTTAACACACCGCTCTGCTGAGAACTGGCTGCTTAAGTAAAACATGAAAGAGCTGAAAGCAAACACACTTACTCTCCCATAGTCCACGGTGGACAGCAACATAGAGGCGGGAAATGTTTCTGCTGATCTTTGGCTTCAAGGATTAACACCAGATTTGGATAGCGGTTAGTCAGGTAATTGGTAAGGAACCCCATAAAGTTGTAAATGACATAAGCTTCGTAACATTCTCTGCAGGTATCCACATAGATTGCAATGCTGGGATATTTCAAAGCTATCCACTATGAAAAAGCACAGATGTTAACAATAGTTGCAGCTAAGATAAAATGAATTACCACTCCCATTCATGGTATTCACAATACGCTACATACTTACATTGAACTTTCTAAAGTTTACTATTATGAGGGCTACCAGACAATCTGTGAAATGAATTTTTAAAAGCAATAAACGTCTTGGATATTGGTAAATGAAAACATCTTTGTTTGGGGGTAAATAATGAAGAAAGAAGCTAAATTGCATACAGTTGGGTTCTTAAATGTAATCTGAAATTTTTGACATGATCATAGAAAATGCTGTTAAGGACATTTCCTTTATTACGATCAAATTAAAGCAGTCATCTGTAACAGCTTTGTTAAAATCCACTGGGAAAGGGGTTTTTTTGGGGTTTTTTTGTCAAAATAAAAGATTTAATAAATAAAAAGGATGATAACCTAAATTTAAACATTCTGTAAGTATAGCTAGTATCAAACAAGTTCTTAATGAGATATAATGAAACATACTTACACTATCTAAACTGTATATGGGTACCATCCAAAGAATCCTATTTGGAAAGCAAAACATAAATTAAAAACATTTTACATTATATTTATGAAATAATCCAATACAATACTAATAGAATCAAATTATGCTACAACTTACCTTATTATTGGTTTCTGTAGTTCAGGTTGTGTATAATGCACTAAATGTTGCAATATCACCCATAGCGATATAGGTATAGTCAACAGCAAAAAGATTCCAGCAATAAACCAAGCCTTGGTGTGTATTCCAACCTTAAGAAGCAGAACAATGTTAATATAAATTCTCTGATATTAAAATTAAAGAGCTAAATTAAATATTTTTATTTCTTAGATTTTCACTTATTTGATTATAAATGAGGCCCAATGTTGTCCAAATGACTAATGGCTATTTTTATTTCTTCTTTAATAAACAACCTATTTTTACTTTGTAGAGAGAGGAGGAAGTAATTTTCCTCATGGGATTGAGCATTTTTCCTCATGGGGCCTTTTGTAATAATAACACTGTGTATGTTAAGGATATTAATATCATGCCATTTTCCCCCAACTTATTTGTCCCTTAGATTTTATTGTGTTTGGCACTATATAGAAATTTAAAAATCTACAAATTTGTATACAGTTTATTCCTTTGCTTTTCTGTCTAGAAAGTTAAAAGTCTACCTATATTTTCTGCAAATTGTATTGTTACCCAACATGTTATCAGATCATTTACTGAATGCTGACTATATGACTGACAGATACTTGGCTAAGTTCTTTACATGCACTATATCTTTTAACCCTCCCATTTGATAAGTACTACCACAACTACTGCCAGGGCTAACTGTGTTATATATATGCCACCCTTCTTATATACAACCATATCAACTCAGGTACATTTTAAAAAGCTCTAACTTCCTTTTTAGGTCAATATCTGATCAATACTGTATCCTGTAAAAGCTCAATTTCTAAAAATATATTTTGTACTACCTCATCCTAGGTAGAGTTGAAGTAATCTACTCACTTTCTGGTAAAAATAAATGTATTTGAACCTCTATTCTGAGGGGGCCTAGGGAATGAATTTTATACTAACTTGGACTAACTGCCTTAAAGAGTGTGACTTTTTAATTTTAAAAAAAACAAGGCAAATGCTAACTTTTTAAAGGAAAAAAGGTAGCGTTTATTTTTGGTATTTGAGGGGTTTGAGCAGTTAATTAAAATAGAACTGAAGTCCACAACTTCTAGTTTTATTGTTTTGAACAAGGTTTCCTTTTTCATCAGGGGGTCAAAGATTAAAGAAGTAGAAAACAAAAGTACAGAGAACAAATGTATTTGTAAAACATTAAATTCCGACATTAAACTGTATGGAAAACTCAAAATGCAAATACAGGAGTCTTGCTTGGTGCTGGGGATCAGTCAAAAGAGTTAAGTGACAAGCAAACGTTCCACATCCTAAAAGGATGTGGATTCTAAAAGGAATGTCTGAGCAATCATTTTTAAGGGATTTGTGCTCAGCTCAATTTCATTTAAAATTGAGTATTCATTTTAACGATGACCTAAAATGATAATGATAAAAATAAAAGTATACTCTAGATCTTCTCTATTATAAAAGGTGATCCTTAAGAATGGTGTCACCAAGTACTTTATGCCCACATTTGTCTTTATAATTGACTTAGTGCCAAAAAGTAGAACTTGGTGGTAGCTTTAAGAGAAAAATGATATGCCTGTGACTAATAAAGGCCAAGTGACCTCAGTGTGCTGTAAGGAAAAAAGTTCTTTTTCAAATGATCATAAAACAAGTGACTGGGTAATTGAGTCATTTCAGTATAGTGATGCCAAATTTAAAAAAATCTTGCATCATATAGTGCCATTTCTACATTGCAGGTGGTAATTGAGTTTCAGAAAAACATCATCTGTCCACATTAATGCCATTAATTTGAATCACTGGTTTTTACAATTGTTTTGATTTTTGAGCTATATAAAAAGCTATATGTATAAGAAATTTAACCTATTTTAAGCATGCATATATTTAAGTAACATTATAAGTTAACTCTAGGTATCTGTAGAAATTATTAATATATTACATTTATCTCTTAAGTTATTCATACTTGAGACACATTGCTATAAGGCTACCATTAACATTATTAAACTCATCGGCCATGTGTAGGGTTTTTTGGCTCACAAAATAAAGAGGAGATAAGTAGCGCAGTTTTTCCTAAGGTAACTTGAAAGTAGAGAGGAAAGAGAAAACCATTAAACGTAAGCATCCAGGAGTGAGTTAACTGTCCCTCAGCCAAATGCTTTCAAAACAGACAGCAGAGAGAAATAGAGAGTGCTTTCTGGCCCAATCCCCCTGAGGGGAAGAGGTGCACTTACAGAGAGTTGCTTAAGGACTTGGGGCATAAGGACAAGTGGGGCAGGGTAAAATGACTGCAGAGCAAGCAGCATGACATCATGTGTGCATTTAACTTACTTGACTTCAATTATACATGCTCAGCCAAATAAGGGAGTGAGAGAAATATTTAAATAGTGCAGATTATTTTGCCATTCTAATAAATGAGTATACGCCCCACCATGGTGATGGGGCAGGCAATATTAACTTTGTGTTTTCTACAATCTGTTTCCATCGACTCCTCACAGTGTGAGCCATGCGATTATAGTGTTGAAAAGACATGTGTTTTTCATACAAAACTTTCCCTAAATGTCAGCTATTTTATCTGGTGCTCAAGCAGATGCATATAACTTTGCCTTAGGTCTCAAATGAGAACCTAATCCCAACTAAGATGCTATTCCACAAGAAAAAGAACTGCTGCTCCAAAACAAGAATAGTGATGCTATTTTT